AGAGGGAGGAGCAGGCTCCATGCAGGGAGCCTGACGTGGGACTCGATCCCGGGTCTCCAGGATCACACCCCAGGCCAAAGGCACCGCTAAACCGCTGAACCACCTGGGCTGCCCAAAATAGACACTTTTTAAAAAAAGATTTTATTTATTTGAGAGAGAGAGAGGGAACACAAGCAGGGGAGGGGCAGAGGGAGAAGGAGGCTCCCCACAGAGCAGGAAGCCCAACTCAGGGCTCAGTCCCAGGGCCCCAAGACCATGACCTGAGCCGAAGGCAGACACCCAACCGAGCCACCCAGGCATCCGTAAAATAGACACTCCTATCATCACGTCTTCATCTCTCCTTCCTATGACAAATCTAAGAACATATTAAAATTAATAATGGTGTATACAAATTCTTACGTGGACACATGCTATTATTTACCTTGGATAAATATCTAGGAGTGGAATGACTGGATCATGTGGTAAGTATGTGTTTTACTTTTTAAGAAATGGCCAAACTATTTTCAAAGCAGCCATACCATTTAAAACTCCCACCAGTGGCATTTAAGGGTTCCAGTTCCTCTACCTCCTCACTACCACTTAGGATAACCAGTCTTTTTAATTTTAGATGTCACATAGACAGCTGGATGATAGAATATAATGGCATCTTCTAGTGGTTTTACCTTGCGCTTTCCTAATGGCTAATGATATTAAGCATCTTTTCTGGTACTTCTATCTTCTTTGATGAACTGTCTGTTCACGTCTTTCACCCGCTTTTTTAAGAGTCAGTTGTCTTATTATTGACTAAAATTCCAACAGGAACTCTGTCTTCTTGGCAAGAGGAACCAAGAGAAGGTAGTAATTAAAATGATGTTGCAATGGCACAAGACTCAACAAACAGATCAAATGCCCTAGATACAGACCCAGAAACACACTGTGTATACTGCTTGAAAATTGGCAGGAAGAGAAATTATTCCACAAATGGTGCTCAATTGGGTATGCCAAACTTAGACCCTATGTCATACTACATACAAAAAATAAATCACTGATGGATTCTTTACACTCAATCATCACTAAATTTTAATATTATTATTAACCCTAATGAAATAATGGCTCTAAGTCATAATTATCAACAGCTGCTAGCATCACAACAAAGAAAGATAATCAGACATAAGGTGCTTCTACCACCTATTCAAGGTATTCTTGCCCCCAAAAACTCAAACCTGAATGTGATCATGCCTCTAGATCTAACCATCCCTTTACAGGGATAGAGGAACAGTTTTAAAATCACCACAGGGATGCTGTCAGCAAAAATCCAGACTCTGGGTAACTTTATAGGACAAATAATCTGGTTGTTTCAATAATTACAAGGCCAAAAGGAACCAGGTGGGGGGTGGGGACTTCCAATGGAAAGAGATGTGAGAGACACACTACTGGGGCATCTGGGTGGCTCAGTCAGTTGCGCAGGTAATTCTTGATTTTGTTTTTTTGTTGTTGTTGTTTTTTTTTTAATTCTTGATTTTGGATCGGGTTGTGGGATCAAGCCCCGCATCGGGCTCTGTGCTGGGTGCAGAGCCTGCTTGGGATTCTCTCTCTCCCTCTCCCCCCACACCCACTCATTCTCTCTCAAATAAAATAGAATAAAATAAGATAAAATAAAATAAGACACATCACTTTATTTGAATCCTGAATCCAACAGTTAAATATATGTGTGTGTGTGCTGCATTTGTACTATAAAATGTCACTCAAGCACAGCCGAGGCACCACGCAGGGTATGGCATACAAAGGTACGGAAAAGGGAATTATATGTGTGTGTTCTCTGCTGGGGACACAGCACCTTCCCCAACATCCAGATAGATGGGGTTTGCTATGAAGGCAGTGTCATCTTTAGGACAGAACACTCTTCTCACACTGGTCCTGGCCCCTCACACACTCCACAATGAAAAAAGCACAAAAGTGACCTCTTACTTCAGATGTCCCAGAGCTGAGGACTAAATATCTACAATTGTGCTTAGTCATTTCAGGAGCCCCAGTGCCTAACTGCAGGGTGGAACAAAGGATGGATGGACAGATGGACAGACAAATGAGTAGACACCCAACCTACCAACTGCATCCCAAATCCCACTAAAGGCTCAGGGCTAAATCCTAGTGCAATGTTCCCTCAATTACACAAAATCGAAGCTTGACAGGTCCTAAAGGATCCCTTAGTTCTAGTATCTTCATCTTACAGAGCACAAAATTGAAATCCATAGACTATTTGCCCATTATCCTTAGAGACTGAGGTCTGAAACCGGGTGTCTTGACGTCCAGTACAGTGCTCTTGGTATCAAGGGGTTATTCTTTAAGTAACAAACCTTGTGCCCTTGTATCCTCAACTAGGTCATTCAACCAACTTTGTGGTGACCGTCCTCTTACCCTCCAAGCGGTCCAAAGATTACTGGATTGCCAAGGGATCAGCTTTGCTCTGCCAGCTAAATGAGTGAAAAGTTGCCACCTCCCAAAAAAAGAACCAGGCCAGAGATCTTTCCTGATGGAGGACAAAGGTCTGCTCACTTATATGTGAGCAAAACAGCTTTACTTCAGATCTGAATTAAAGGTAGTGTGGCTTTTCTAACCTAAAATAAAGTGTTTGAGTGTTTCTTCCTGTTGGTAATTCAAGATCTGCTGTGAAAACAGCAGTGAGTTCAGCACTCAGCTCTTAAACCTGCTCCCCACCCCCAGGTGAGAGCCAGACAGCTTCCCATCAATAACTTGGGGGGAGTGAAGAGGGTAAGCTGAGTGAGTCAGAACTCAGCAATGCGTTATCCACATGGGCTTCCTTCCTCCTCTAATATAAAAGGCCTGGTGTATGCTCCTGTCAACATGGCCCCAGGTGCTTCCATTTCTAGACCGGATTAAGGCTCAAAGTCCAACACATGGGAGGCTGATAAGCAAACAGCTGGGCAACAAAAGCTTCACCATGGTGCCTGTTCCCCCATCCCAGGGGCTATACTACAATCTTTAGGAGAGCCTGCTGTGCTACACTAAAGTGCAGGTTGGTCCCACCCAAGAACAGAATTTTCCCTTCCACTCTAGAATGAGCCTGTGTGAAAAGCAGCCAAGACCCACCCAGGTGTACCTAAGCTAGTCCCACCTTAAAGACAGAGGTTGTTGGGCCAGTACTACGATGGAGCAGCCTCAGGGGAATCCCTGGGTGGCTCAGCGGTTTAGCGCCTGCCTTTGGCCCAGAGCGTGATCCTGGGGTCCTGGGATCGAGTCCCACGTCAGGCTCCCTGCATGGAGCCTGCTTGTGTCTCTGCCTCTCTCTCTCTCTCTCTCTCTGTCTTTCATGAATAAATAAAAATTTTTTTTTAAATGGAGCAGTCTCTCACACACAAAGAGAGAAAGAAAAATAGAGCAGCACTGAGGCAAACATCTTGTGTCAGCCCTGCCAACAAGGGTCTGCTTGCCTCCTCAGCCATAACATGAGCCAAGAAACTGGGAATCACCCAGCTAGAATGACTAAAGCCACACCATCCCCCTACAGAAATCTGGAAGAACTGGGTCAGACACAGTAATCCTACCTTCCCCATTTACCTCCACCTTCATCCCCATACCAATCAAAGTTAAAAACAGGGATCCCTGGGTGGCTCAGTGGTTTAGCGCCTGCCTTTGGCCCAGGGCGTGATCCTGGAGTCCCAGGATTGAGTCCCATGTCAGGCTCTCCACATGGAGCCTGCTTCTCCTTCTGCCTCTCTCTCTCAGTGTCTCATGTATAAATAAAATCTTTAAAAAAAAAAAAAAGTTAAAAACAGACTGGAGAAGCAGAGGGCACCTCTACTCAGAGTTCAGAGCAGGAATCCGAAACTACTCTTGGCCTTCCAAGTAGGAACAGGTGTGCTTACTAGGCCATGAGAAAAGCTGCAGCTGTGGAAATCAGAGGTTGACATCAGGCACCACAGCAGCTGTAATCCAAGATCAATGTCAGAGAGCTGCAGGAAACTGCCAGCCTCCCAACTGTACCACACTTGTGGAGTGGGCAACTGGACAGGAAAGCACAGAGGCAGACCACTGCACAAACTTGGGCCTGCTGGAGCCTACACACAACTGCCACCACACCTGAAGAAAAAGGTCTCCTGTCACCTTCGAAGTCACGTAAATCTATCTCATTAGGAGAATCTCAGTCACAGTAGCAAGGGAACCTGGGAACGTTTAGCCCTCCTACCCCTGCACTACCGGCGGTACAGAATGGAACAAAGGTGGAGGACTCACATCCTGAGTACCATCACACTGCTCTTTAAGTAGACCCCAAAATCTTCTGGGCCCTGGAAATGACTGAGAATGCATGCATGAGAAAGTCTAGGAAGGGAAGATCACAGCACTGCAAGCCCAGGCAATCAAGCTTAGCCTAAGCCGGGTTAGGAACAAACACATCTACTTCTTATTGGCTCCATACAAGTCCTGGGCAGACCCTCCAGGTTTCTGTGAGCTGCTCAAAAGCCCCTAAGGAGACCCTGCCACGGGGCAAGAGGGGGGCAGGACACAGCTAAAAGTTCCCATTTCAGACTCAACCAAAGACAATTCTACTCTTACTCATTTTATATAGATTCCCCATAAGATTTTATTTGTAAAAGATATAAACATATAAATAATAAATAAATAACATGACAGGAAGAGGGAGTATTTGGAAATCATTTTCTCACAGAGCACTTTGACGAAGCATACCCATTCACCCAGCCTTCAGCATGTTGGTGAGATATTCATATATTATACACATAACTAAAGCACCTGTCAGAGTACAGGAAGCACCCTCTTCACCAGACCCTGAATAGAGAGAAGCAAACAAAGGTCCCATTACCTGCTGATTCCCCAGGAATCCAGAACCAGGAGTGGGCAGGAAGGAGAAAAGGGTCAGGATCCCAAGTAGCAGGTAGGCCAGGAGTAGGGCCCAGGATGGAAGCAGTGATCATACAGAAGGTGCAAGCAAGGGTTACTTGCATAATATATACACATTATGGGAAAAAGTCTACACAGAAAAGTAATCATTTTCATATAATTCATTTATAATTATTTTCATACAATTCATTATGTTACAAAACTGTACACCTACCCCAAGCACTGCTGAATAAACCAAAGTCATTTCTTAGAAAGAGAAGAATCAACACTGACTTTTATTCTGTCCTTCTTCCTGGATTGGGCCTATCCAGGCCAGAGCAGAGTGTGGAGTACAGAACAGCGATCCTTCAAGTCCAAGGGGTGACTCCTCCAGTCATTACAGGAGGGGTGTCTCTGTTTGGAAAGCCAGCACCAGCACCCAGAACACAGGAGTCCAGAGAGACAGACAGGCACTGCTAGCCACCATCTGGCTGTGGTGGGAATGCCCATGGTGAGGGAGCTGCAGCTCGGCAGAGATGTACCTCTCCAGAACAGGGACCTGGAGCTGTGGCACCACAGCACTAGGAGGGAAAGAAAAACACAGAATCTCAGAGCACAGCAGGAGCCACTGGATACTCCAAGGCCCCCAAAGGCCCACACAGCTTCTTTTCATCTCCCTTCTTTAAAGACAGGAATGGATCATAGTATGGTAATGGGCTTCCTATGTCTCTGTCCCTCGATACTACTGCTACAACACATCCAAGTAATACAGGCGCTAAGGCCAGCACATTGGACAACTCTCCCGGGGCTACATGGTTCTTGGCTCAAAGATTATGAAAACTCTAGGTATAAGAAGGCACAACTCAGATTTATTTATCATTAGCCTTTGGGCAATCTCAGGCAGGGACCCTCCTCACTGACCACACATAGAGGCACATCCATCTCAGGGTCTCTGGCTCAGTCTGGTGTGAACACCATGCAGACATCCCAGGTCAAGACAGTATGAGCTGAGGGGCCCATGATCTCAGGCCCACCTGGACCTTTCAGCTCAGCTCAGCTGTAAAGTATCCAACTCTAGGCCATCTTGCAAGGAAATGGTACAGACTGAAAAGGTACCGAACAGGCCAATTTATTCCTCCACCAAGGACAGTTGAAGAGCCACCCTCTGTCAGGCTCCCTGTGTAAATAAACATGGATACCAACATGATCTGCCTCTGTTCTCCAGGTCCCACTTGGCTGCCAGCTTCTCTCCACTTAAAAATGCCAATCCCTGGGGTGCCTGGGTGGCATAGTTGAGTGACTTGATTTTGGCTCAGGTCATGATCTTGACGTCATGAGATTGAGCCCCAAGTTGGGCTCCATGCTCAGCAGAGTCTGCTTCAGATTCTCTCTCCCTCTCACTCTTTCTCTAAATAGATAAAATCTTTTTTAAAAAAAATTTTTTTTTAATGCCAATCCCACAGCACATTGCAGGACTGCTTGGAGCCTTTAATGGCTCGTTTCTGTAGACATAAGATTCTCAGTCACTCCACTCCACTTCCTGTCTGTACCCACCTCACCCCTCCGTATTCCCCTGGACTTCCTAGGCTCCAGCCACAATTACTTCATCTAGGTTTCTTCAATATACTCACTCTTTCCAGGCCTTCAAATTGTTCCATTTGCTTGGAACTCCTTCACTCCTTGCTCAGTTGTTTACTCATTCAAAATTTATTATGAAGCACCTATGGAGGCACTGGATCCCTGAATCTCCTGATCCAGGCTCGAAAGTTCTGTTCACTGGGCTCCACTTTTGTCAGGTGTCTACTGAGCATCAGCCAAAAGGTCCCTGCACTCCATGAGGCCTTTTCTGATCGGGCCCCCCACCCTAAATAGTAACCTCCAACACACCCACAAGCACCTTCCCACAGCACCCTACATTTCTTTGGCAGACAACTCAAAATCTGGCTTCCTCCCCAGAATGTGAACTCCATAGGGCTAATGCCTGTCTGTCTAGTTTACTCCAAAGCCACAGCACCCAACACAAAAGCAGGAACACAGAAGGGACTCAACACATTTGAGTTAAATTGCACTGGATCCTGGATCCCAGGCCCCTCAGATGTAGTTCTTCCAGAAGACATGGCCTCCAGACCAGGCTGAGCATTACCTCTGACTCCTCTGTCCACCTCTGATGTACCTTCCAAGAGTCTCTGAGAGTGCATTCTGTGGACACCGCACTCCTTGCAAAATGTGGGGGCTAAACAAGCCCATTCCCACAAGGTTGCTTCCAGCTCTGCAGAACTACAAAATCCCTGATGTGCAATGAAGGGCTGGCAAACGTGCCTGCCCACACTGCCCCCCACCCTTTCTTTAACAGACATAAACATGTTGCCCTTACTCTAGCTTGAAACAACCACCTTCAATCTGGATTCATCAAATCACAGTGAACAGAAGCCCAGTCAGTGCCCAAAGCTGTGGCGTGCAGTTAAGGCCAGTCCACGAGGGGAGGGGGGCGGGGCGCTCATCCCCACCAGAACCTTGGCCACCCCCCGTCCCCGGGGCAGTGTGATGGGCATTGCCGGGGTGATGGATGCCAGGGATGGGCACGTCCCCTCCGCCCAGTCCAGTCCAAAGCACTGCCTCACCTCTCCTCCAGTCGGACCCACAGATCGCTGAACTGCCGAAGCCGCTGCCTTCGCTGAGGGCGCGGCCGCCTCCGCTTCTTCCGGAACTTCCGCTCTGCCTCGCCACCTAGGTCGGCACTTCCGGGCGGGGACACCTGAGGAGGCAACAGGGCGCGCGCCGCAGCCGCAGGAGCTTCCGGTGCCGGTGCCGGTGCTTCCACCGCGGGCTCTTCAGGGGCAAAGATGGTCGCGGAGGCGGGCCCTGAGGAGGATGTTGGACTCTTCTCTCTGTGAACAGGGGTGCAGGGAAGGTGGATTTGAAGGACAGCATGGTGCCCCCCCCCTCGCCCTCAGGGCTCAGGGCCTCACAACAGGTAGATGTGAAAGTTCAAGCTGGCTAGGGAGGGTTCTCGAAGCCACCTCCAGAAATGGTCACTTTGATGCCTTAATTTCTCCCTGATATCCTGTCACCACAGTCGTTCCAAATCCCCCAGCCCTGGGGAGGAAATAAAAGATACCTTTTTAATTGCATACGGTTATCAGTGGGTCCCTAACAATGGGGCACAACTGTCTAGAAAGTCGCTGAAGATTACAGCATTGAAAGGACAAACAGTGTATGTTCTCATTCATTTGGGGAATATGAATAATAGCGAAAGGGAATATAAGGGAAGGGAGAAGAAATGTGTGGGAAATATCAGAAAGGGAAACAGAACATGAAAGACTCCTAACTCTGGGAAACGAACTAGAGGTGGTGGAAGGGGAGGAGGGCGGCGGTGGGGGTGAGTGGGTGATGGGCACTGAGGGGGACACTTGACGGGATGAGCACTGGGTGTTATTCTGTATGTTGGCAAATTGAACACCAATAAAAATTAATTTATAAAAAAAAATAAAAATAAAGCACCTAAAGCAAAAAAAAAAAAAAGCGACATGAAAAATGTTTACATGCCACTTCCTTAGGACAATTGAAGAGGCCCTTAATCACGTGAATCCCTCCTCTACCCTTGTGAGGCTCTCCTCAGAATGAGGCTGTAGCGGCTCCACCCCCACCTGAATGACTGCTAGTGTTCTCAGGACTGGCTTCTGAACCCCCTTACCCCAGGCCTCACCATAAACCATCCTTCCAAAAGGGAGTAATGTTTTTCACAACTGATGAGAAACTCAGATTGGCTTCTCGTTTTCCCCAAAAGGTGAAGGTAGTCAGCCTCCTCCCTCCACACCCCGCCCCTCTCAAAGAATCTCTTCCGGCGGGGAAACAAGTCATTAGAAAGACCAAGTTTCTTCCCACAACAGGACTTTTGTCAAGGGTTTAGTTGGGGTTGAAGAAGGGTCAGTAAGAGAAGAATCCCAGCTACTAGAGGTCAACCCCGTTGTCTCCTGATGTTTGCAGTAAGGGCCCTGAGGCTGCCGTCCACCTGAGGAAAGGGAGCAGTGGATGTGCCATGTGCATCTTCCAACAATGTAGGTGCAGCAGACCAGCATATATATAAGACCTCGGTGATTCTGCCCTGATTCAGCCTTGACGAACCGCCCACCTGCCAGAAGCAGGACTCAATTCTGACCCACAACCTGACAGAACTGAGACGTCAGTATTCATGGCCCTGTGTGAGGAAGGGACGAGGTATAAGAGATAGAAAATGAAAAAGGAAAAGAGGGTGGGCAAAATAAGGTAAAAGAAGGGAATTCCTCAAATGGCAAAGAAATAAGCAAGGCCCCTGTTGTGAACTTGAGGCTGGGAACCCCAGCAACATATAGTTACAGTTAAAAGGCCCCTGGAGAACAGGACCTGCCAGATTCATCACTGTCTCCAGAGCCCAGCACCATGCCTGACACGTGTGACACTACTTAGATGAACCTCTTCATTATACCAACAAAGAAACTGGGGCCTAGAGAGGAAGAGTCCCCGCCTAAGACTCTCCAAGATTCTGGTGGCCTCCTGGAGGACTCAGGAGCAGAACGTCAGACAGATCCCATGCCCAGGCCCTCTGCCTTTCAGAAGACACCATGTCTATGTCACCCTTGAGCTCCATAGAGCCCCAACAGACTCTGGTACACAGCCAGGCACTCAAAAAAGTCTGTTGCTTTTACTTAGCAAAGAACATGGACTCATTCACTAGGGCTCAGCTCTTAAGGCTTCAAGCAGTGGATCCTCACAGTGGGACAAATCACAGCGTTGGTTCTGTTCAGCTCACAACAGACACAAGAAGACCTCAGCCTGGTTACTCCAGGTAGCCAAGGCCAGGGCTTGAGAACCAAGAGAACCAAGTTAATTACCCTTGTATGTGTGTGTTTGGCAGGGAGGGTGTTAATCCAAAAGAAATTAATTTTACTTCTCCTGATTTTATTTTTCTCCTATTTCACAGCTGAGATGTCCTGGGGAATCATAACACCCACTTTACAATTGAGGAAACTGAGGACCAGGAAAAAAAACTTCCTTGCCCTAGATCCCAACAAGGATTCAGTGCCATTTTCAAATAACATTCATCATTAAGATTTTTTTTTCAGGTTATGAAGCTAATCTATTGTCACTATAGAAAATATGGAACATATCGAGTAGTGTCACTATAATCACCTGGGAGAGAGCCTACAGACAAATGCTCATAAGGGCTCAGGCATAGGCTTAAAGGTCCCTAAGGCAGTAGGGTTGGCTGCTTCTCTGCCAGGAACAGAAAATCGCAGCTGCTAAACACAGCCCAGTTCATCCCAGAGCTCTTGGGCTAGCCTAAATATCCCATCACAGGTTGAGGTTGTGTAGGTTACCATGTCTTGGTCCATCTGAATTCCCAAAGTTTAGTGAAGCCTCTAATTACTTATAAAGCCTAAGCCCATGGTCATTTTGGCCACAGGATAGGACTCTTGTGCTGAGAAACTGCTTGCCCCCTGCCTGCATTTCACATAATCTACTTACTCCATGGAAGTCTCCAAGAAAGAAACACCCTGGTTGGCATGGCCTCTCTCCTAAGTACACACCCACCAGGAGGACATGTAGTATCCAAGAAAGAGCCTAGGGTTGAAAACTAGGACAAGATAATTAGCCTTTCGGAGCCTCTGCTGCTTCTCTGAAGTTGACCTATCTCACCTGGTTGCCGTGAAGATTAAAACTACCCACTATGCTTCACACTGAGCTGGGCACACACCGGAAAGCACACAGCTTTCCAGGTACATGCCCCTCTCTCCCAGTCCCTCTGTGTGGGGATGAATGACACTGTATGGACCCCAGCAAGGATGACCAAAACCCTGGACCACTCTGTAGCCAAAGGGACATTCACCAGATCCTCACTGGAATCTGTGGTAGGCAGAATAATGACTCCCAGAACCTAATCCCCAGAACCTGGGAATTCATTTTTTACTCTCCTGGTAAACGGGATTTTGTGGGTGTGATATAGGACTTTGAGATGGGAGATTACCCCCAGACTATCTGGGTGAGCTCAATCCAATCACATGGGTCCTTAAAGCCAAAGGACTTTTCCATTCTTCCCAGTGGGAGGTGCAAGCACAGAAGGGTCAGAGATGCAAGGTCACTGGTTTTGAGGATGGAGGGAGGGGTCGCAAACCAAGAAACGTGAGTAACCTCTATCATCTGGAAAAGGCAAGTAAACAGATTCTCCCCAGGGGCTCCAGAAGGGAGTGCAGCCCCACTAACACCTTGATTTCAGCCAGTGAGCCCTGTGTCAGACTTCTGGTCTACAGAACTGTAAAATAATCTCTGTTGCTTGAAGTCAGAGTTTATACTAATTTGTTGTGGCAACAAAAATAGAAACAAAAATTTAAAAACCTTGGGTGGGGAGGGGTTGTGGGGCTGGGGCCTCGCTTCCCCTCCAACCCCCTCCCCTGGTCCCCTATCCCTGGGGCCGTTTGTTAAAAAAGAGTAATAAAAGGATTAAAAAATAAAAAAATTTAAAAGCCTAATAGAGCATCCATTATCCTGGGAAGAGGTGTGGGGATAGGAGATTGGCTAAATCCTTGGGATCAGCCCAGCAAAACTCCTGTCCCTTCCTCTCAGCTGCAGAGGGAAAGGCAACTTGACAGCCAGGGGCATCTCCTGTGTATTCCAGCCTGCTGACAGGTGGAGGGTAGAGGCTGCCAGTAGCCCTCCCCTCACTCCTACATACAGCCCTTCTCTGGCCACTTAGTACTGGTCCACCCCAAGACCCCAGAGGCTGGCAGGGCTGGAGTAAGCTAGGTCACCTGTTGGAAGGCTTCCTGCCCCCACCCACACAGCCTGCCTCAGACCCAAGATCATATTACCAGAATCATCCCTCAAGGGTTATCACATGGCTGCTAAGGAGGGAAAAAAGGAAGCAAGTGCCTCCCCAGCCACTGCACTGCCCCTCACCAACACCTTCACTGAGGGCATTTCCCCCACTCTGGACCCTTATGCCCTCACCCCTTCTTCTCCCTGAACAGAGGCTCCTTTCCAGATGTCCTGCTCCCTCGTGGCCTGCCCCAGGAGTACTGCTCACCACTGAAAACTCATAGACACTACCCTAATGCAGCACATACTGTGTGCCAGACATCAGGACAGCTACCACAGAGGCACACACCAAACCCCTTGAGAATTCATGCATGGGGGTGGACCCAGGCTGGAGCAGAGAAGAAGATGGATCTCATAGATTTTTTAATTAATTTTTTAAGATTTTATTTACTTATTCACGAGAGACACAGAGAGGGAGAAGCAGGCTCCATGCAGGGAGCCTGATGTGGGACTCGATCCCGGAACTCCTGGGATCACACCCTGGACCGAAGGCAGGCGCTAAACCGCTGAGCCACCCAGGTGTCCCTCACAGATTCTTATAGAATTAGGGGCGGGGATGGAATGAATCCCTGGCAGAGGAAACTGCATGAACAAAAAGACAAAGCATCTGGAAAGTAAAAAGTAGAAGAAGAAAGGGCAGAAAGAGAAGGGACATGCAGGTAAAGGAGCCAACTGTACATACCGAGGCTCTGACTAGCTGTGTGATCTTTCTATTTCTCCATCAGTAAAGGAGAAGAAACACCTTCCTCATGGGCTGTCTTTAAGGGTTAACTGAGAGTCCGTGTGAACCTGGCTGCCACCTGACAATCGATCAAGAAATGTTCTTGCCTCCCCCTGGAAATGAGAGCAGCCCAGCTGGATGTCACACCGGTTCTCAGCCCTCACAATGCACCGGAATCACGGAGAGATTTTCAAAATATTGATTCCTGACCTCACTTCCTCCCTGAAGCAGGTTATCAGGGTTAGAATCAGAAGTAGGAAGCCTGAGAATAATCCTTAACCAATAACACACGTACACACACACACCAGCAGGGTCCTCTTCAGCACCCACAGGGACTGTGTGCCAGACACCAACCCAGCCAGCCTGGGAGATGGTGCTGAAAAGCGACCAGAGGCCCAGCTCACGCTACCTTCCAGAAGCACAGGTCCCCCAGAAACAAGCAGAGAACCACTAAGGGTTGGGTTGTCCCTCCAGGGATGGAGGGGAGGAGGAGGCAGGCTCAAGGAGGACAGTGGACAGACAGCAAACTGGACAGGAGGTTTTCTGAGGCAAGAAGCCTGTGCTGGAAAAAAAAAAAAGGCAGAAAAAAAATGTTTTTAAATTTTAAAAAAGCGGGGGGGGGGGGGCAGCCGGGTGGCTCAGCGGTTTAGCGCCGCCTTCAGCCCAGGGCAAGATCCTGGAGACCCAGATTCATTTGGGGAATATAAAAAATAGTGAAAGGGAATAAAGGGGAAAGGAGAAAAAATGAGTGGCAAATATCAGAGCGGGAGACAGAACATGAGAGACTCCTAACTCTGGGAAACGAAGTAGGGGTAGTGGAAGGGGAGGTGGGCAGGGGCTGGGGTGACTGGGTGACGGGCACTGAGGGGGGCACTTGATGGGATGAACACTGCCAACATGTTGGCAATTCTATATGTTGGCAAATTGAACACCAATAAAAAATTATTAAAAAAAAAAAAAAAAGATCCTGGAGACCCGGGATCGAGTCCCACATCAGGTTCCCTATGTGGAGCTGCCTCTGCCTGTGTCTCTGCCTCTCTGTGTCTCTCACGAATAAATAAAATCTTTAAAAAAAGAAAAAGAAAAAAAGGCAGAGTCTGGGTGCCGAGGCATCAGCACGAAGAAACCAAACTTTGGAAAAGAATAAGAAACCACTGAAGGATTCTGAAGTAGGGGCACTTGCAAGATTAGCCTCACAGAAAGCAAAGAACGGACCAGAGGGCAAGAGCCACAGGAAAGGAAAGGAGCAAATCCAAGCAAGGCTTTCATGGAGGAGGCCCGAGGTGTGAGGAAGGTGAGAAATAAGAAGTCTCAGGTGAGGGCTTTTGTAGAGTAGAAGAGCTGAAGAACTGTTACTCCTATTACTGAAAGGGAAGAAAGGGGAAGGAGAGAAAATGAGTGAAAATATCAGAGAGGTGACAAAACATGAGAGACACCTAACTCTGGGAAACAAACAAGGGGTAGTGGAAAGGGAGGTGGGGGGGGTCACTGGGTGATGGGGACTGAGGGGGGCACTTGGTGGGATGAGCACTGGGTGTTATGCTAGATGTCGGCGAATTGAACTCCAATAAAAAAAATTAAGAAAAAAAAAAAGAACTGTTACTCCTGATGTACTGGACATAGGTATGAAGGGAGGCGGGGGTGAGACAAGCGGAGGGTGTACCTAGGGCTGCCTACTTGGAGGGAGCCTGGGAGGACCCTGCCCCGCCCCGGGGGGGGGGTATCCGGACTGCTGGGGAGGACCCTCTGGAGTGAGGGCCAAGCGAGAGGCCCTGGCTTGCAACAGCATGAGTTGAAAGGGGCACCTGGGGAAGGGCAGCCTTGCGCAGACACCACCGCTGACCTCTCTCTGCCCCCTCCCTCGCCAGAGGGGACCCGCCCTCTCCTCACCACCGCTGAGATCTCAGCCAGGAGGGGGCGCTGCTGACCACCATCTGGAGGGAGTGGGGCGAGGAATGGCTCGTGTTCTGAGCAGAACTCCTGCGTGGAATCCCTGACAGCCAATTCCTCAGAATGTGACTGTATTCGCAGGCAGGGCCTTTAAGGAGGTGATTAAGGTAAAATGAAGCTGTTAGGGTGAGCCCTGATCCAATCTTCTAAGAAGAGGAAATTTAAAAACAGTGACAGACTAGGATTGTGTGCACACAGGGGGCGGCCATCTGAAGCCAAAAAAAGAGATTTCTGGGGAAACCAAACCTACCAACACCTTGATTTTGGACTTCTGGCCTCCAGAACTGTAAGAACATACATTTTTATTGTTCAAGTGCCCAGTCTGTGACATTTTGTGATGGCAGCCCAAGCTGACTAGTACAGAAGGGGAAGGAAGGGTCCACAGGGGAGAAGCAGCTCCGGGAGAGAGAAGGGGCTGTGCTCCTGCCCCCAAGGTGGGTCTTACAGGCATGGTTGTGGCCTGTGCCTCCAGCCCCTCCGACCTGACATTATGATTGATTCCACCGTCTCCCTCCCCAAGACCTCCAAATGCCCACTGGGAAGGCACTGAGCATTAAGCCTAATCACCCTTCCTGGGGCTGCTGGAGTAATCTTCTCTTCTCCTTCTTCTCTGCCCCAAGACTGTGGGGGAAACACCCAGGATGGCTTCTGTGGCTCAAAGTGCCTGGCCAGCACCCCCTCCCTCATGTCTGACACAGCCCCAACCACAACAAGATGCCCGCAGAGCCGGGTGCCAAGTGTCCATTGAGCGGGCCAGGCCAGGAACATGGTAATAGCCATGCCAGGGGCCTCTGGAGCGTCCCAGGAGACAGCCCACCCTGGTGCCCAGGCAGCCCCATGGGAGTCTCCCAACCAGGATAGAAGCACAGGAAGATTACTTGCTGATGGGTCGTCCAGCAGGGGCGTGCTCTACCTCATATCCTTCTCGCCGCAAGACATCTAGCACCGTGTTGTTGCCCATGAAATGACCTAGAGTAAGAAAAATGATAAGAAACACGGCAGCTCCTGTGATTACTAAACATACCCCCAAACACACACCCCAGAACAAAGAAGTAACCCCGCCAGCCCTCCGTCCCTACTCCAGACCAGGAGAGTTCCAGAGAGGCAGTCAGGCCTCCCAACCGCCCTCCAGGCAGGCAGGGAGGGATAAGCAGCATTCAGAGATGAGGACACAGAGGATCAGATGGGTGCAGTGCGCTGCCCAGAATCACACAGTAAGGGGACAGCCTAGACACCAAATCCCAACCTTGCACCTCTGAATGCAGTGTTAACAATCCTGACCATTCCCCTCATTTATACAAGCAAACCACCTGTGAGACCCGAGCCCCCTTCTGCCCCATACATAATGATAAGTGCACAGTGAAAACCTCCGTTTAGCAGAAGCCACCACACCTGGAAACCTCAATCTGAATTTTATTTCACTTTTTCCCTTTTAATAAAAAAAACCCACAAAGATCAGAGAAGTTTACAGTGACATCTTAAACATTTTAAAGGCCAAAAGTAGACCTTGAGATTAACCTTCTTTCCTTTCAGGTTGGTTTCAGATTTTGGGCTTTTTTTTTTTTTTTTTTAAGTAGGCTCCACACTCAGCATGGAGCCTGACACAAGGCTCTAACTCATGAGCCTGAGATCAACACCTGAGCTGAAATCAAGAATCAGATGCTGAACCAACTGTACCATCCAGGCGCCCCTCCCCATCCTGAGCATCAGAACCGACATGATCCTCCAGGCTCATATGTCCTTCTCTGTGACAATGTATGGCACTTTAATGTTCTCAATGGCTCATTAAATTGCAGTAAACCATCGTGTGATTGGGCAAAACTTTAGAGGGATTGTTATTATCTCTACTTTAAACTGAAAAACAGGGAAAACGGGTTGGGGACTTCACTTAAGCAGCAGCAGAGTCCATGCAATTTTGACACCTTGATAGCCAATAATCAGAGACTGGGACAGTGAATAAAGGTACATCCACGCTGCAGGAGAGGCGACGTGCAGTCTGTAGGTCTCTCCCGTGTCCTGTTGCCACAGCTCTAGGAAGCAGGGTAAACCTGGATCAGCCTCTGGGAGCCTGGGGATCCTGAGGGTGGTGACTGTGGCAGAAAGTACTAGGCTGTACTACATTCTTGGATTCAACTGTAGAGTCTCTGACCCCAAGATTGATGAGGGGCAACTGGCTCAGATGAAAGGGACATTGGCAAGGCCCCCATCGGCCCTGGCGCAGAAGTGCAGTAAACTCATGTGCAGATTATGCCTGGGGGCACCTGGGTGGCCTAGCTGGTTAAACCTCCAACTCCTGGTTTTGGTTCAAGTCATGATCTCAGGCCAGTCTGTTTGTCCCTCACCCTTCCCCTTCCTCCCTACCTGCCACTACCCCCACCCCCCTACCCCTGCTCCTGTGCATGCACTCTGTCTCTCAAATAAGTAAATAAATAAAAGATGATGCCTAGACTAGGGGGTGGAAGGAGGCGGGGTGGCTACTGAGCTTGCAGAGTGCTGCTGGGACCCTCACTCCCTCAACCATTACCACCCCCACCCAGCAGGGAGTGATCACAGAAAGTAGCTAACATTCACTGAGCATTAGGAGGTACAGTGCTTTACACATCACCTCCCCCCCCTCAACAACCCTATAAGGGTTATTATTATCCCCATTTTATAGGTGAGGAAGAGGCAGGCAAGATGAAGTCGACCGCATCTCGAACCCCAGTGGTCTGGCTCCAGAGTCCACACTCTCAACCAAGTAGCAATGAAAACAGTATTTGTCAGGTGAACGAACTGCCCCGATTACCAATGCTTTCTCATCGCAGAACCAAGCTATTCTGTTTGACTTAATTTTCCTCCTACTCCAAAGCTCCATTTCTCATCTCTAAATTTTATCTCCAGACCCTCACGACAAAAGTTCTGTTTGCTTTTAAACTCTGGAGGTTTTGGCTTTGGGTGATCTTTTGCAATTAAAAGTTTGTGAACCACAGACTTTTTACATTTTAAACCACTAAAGCTAAGTGTCCAGAGGAATTTCTGTGGTTCCCTCTGGTCAACACAGCCTTCAGAAGGCAGGAGGACAAATGTATTCAGGCAATGGAAAAAGCAGCCCCAGGAAGAGAATTTAGCACTAGCAGACACCCAGGCCACGCCCCACCCCCAAATCCCCAGCAGCTGCAAGACCTCCACCCAGCGCAGTGGCAACATGATGAGCTGTGCACAGAGAATCCGGCAAGCCCTAAAGCTGCAGTCTCACCTGTGCCATCTGTCCAGCAGAGTCCCCACCCAGAGAGCCTGCCCCACCATCTGCTCTAATCAACCTGCCAGCCAACCTGCTGCCCAGCCTCACACCACAGGGTGGGTCACGGTCATCTCAGAGCAGCCACTTTTCCTCTCACCCAGTGCCCCACTGTCCACCACTGGACATCAGGAAAGCTTTTGAGATGTCAACTGAGTCTAGCAGAAGTGGAAAGCAAAAGCTGCCACCTCAGGGGTCGGAACCTTCCATCCTGGAGGAGCCAGCACAGCCTCTGGGATAAAGCCACCAGCTCTGTGTCCTAACAGAGGGCCACCGTCACCCCCTACCCCCCACCGCAGGCACCATGAGGGCTTCTGGGACCTAACTCCTGTTTAGTTCCTGCAGGGCCAGAGCTAACAGCTTTGCTGAGACAGGCCGGACAAGGACACCATATAACACAGAACAGTGCGCAATCCAAATTCAGAACGTGAGACTCAGGGAAAAGGAAAACCATTCATTCACACAACTCAAAGGGACTGACCAACTGTCAAAGGCAGAAACTGTTCATTTTTCAGTGAAATGTAGAGCCCAACCTTTCATTTTCTCCACAACAGTTTTATTTGAGTATAATTTACACACACAAAAAAAATCATCCTGTTTCTTCAAGTCTATTGTTTTAGCAATCTCTCCACCCAACAGGGGGCTCGAACTCATGACTTGGAGATCAAGAGTCACATGCTTTTCCGAATGGGCCAGTCAGCTGCCCCTAAAATTCACCCTTCTAGTGTACAATTCAGTGATTATGTTTTGAATATTCACAAAGTTGTGCAACCATCACCACTATCGAATTTTAAAACATTTTCATCAGCTGAGATTTTGATAACATTACATTGACTATACAGATCAATTTGGGGGAATATTGTTATTTTAACAACATTTATCAAATCTTTCAATTCATGACCATAAGAGGTCTTTCCATTTTCTTAGGTTTTCTTTGACTCCTTTCAATGACTTTTTTAGTTCTCATACATCTTATGTGTCACTTGTTAGATTTAGTACTAAGTATTTTTTTATGTTTTTTAAGGGAACTGGTTTCTTAGCTGCATTTTCAAATTACTCACTGTTAGAGTACAGAAACACAACTGATTTTTATATATTAATCTTGTATCCTGCCTTCTTGTACCCTTGGTTATTAGTTCTAATAGTTTTTTGAGGGAATTACCTACAGTCTTCTACAAAACCATGTCACCTGAGGGAAAAAAAAAAGAGAGTTTTACTTCCTCCTTTCCAATTTGAATGCCTTTTATTCCTTGCCTAATTTTCCTGGCTAGAACTTTCACTCAGCACATTGTTGAAGAGATGTGCTAAGAGGAGCCATCAATGTCTTGTTCCTCATCTTAGGGGGAACTGCTCCCATCTTTTACCATTGAATATGCTAATGTGGGGTTTTCATACTAACCCTGTAACAGGCTGATGAAGTTCCCTCCTAGCCCAATTTTGATGAGTGTGCTTATCATGAAAGAATGTTGCACTTTATCAATGGCTTTTTCTAGATCTATTGAGAGCATCATGTGGTGATTGTCCTTTAGTCTACTAATATGGGGTATTACCTTAACTGACTTTCAGATGTTGTGGAAATGGTCCCCCAAAGTACATCTGCATCTTATTTACTGGAACCTGTTAATGTTATCTTATATGGAAAAAAAAAGATTTTGCAGATGTAATACATCTAAGGATCTTGGGATCAGGTGATAATTATACTGGACCTCTCACTCAGCCCAGGTTTATGAAGCTAGTGGAAGAACTGAAAGGAGAAGGCCGAGGCCAGCACACTACCCAGCCTCAGGCATTACTGTCTTTAATTCTGGAGGGTGCAAAGCTGTGATAGAATCACTCAAGAAGAGGAGATAATTTCTTTCAAAAAGCCCACAAGAGGGCAGCCCGGATGGTTCAGGGGTTTAGCACCGCCTTCGGCCTAGGGTGTGATCCTGGAGACCCGGGATCAAGTCCCACGTCAGGCTCCCTGCATGGAGCCTGCTTCTCCCTCTGCCTGTGTCTCTGCCTCTCTCTCTGTGTGTATTCTCATGAATAAATAAAATCTTAAAAAAAAAAAAAGCCCACAAGAGGAAATCATTTTCCCAGTCTGTTTCCATGTGTACTATTAGTAGTTGGTAATAGCTGATATGTCAGCCCAAGGCCTTCCACCTGGGAGGCTCATCATCAGAGAGGAGAGGGAAGATAAATTTTATTTGGAAGTTCAAAGAGTGAAAGGTACCAGAAAGAAGTTGGGATTAAGTGACGAGTTCAGAAGAAAGAAATGCCTTCCCAGCTTCCAGGGGACTGTGTCACGAGCACCATGTGGAGAGAGAACTACGGTGATGTCACAGGTACCAGCCTGCTCAGCAAAGTTCCAACCGTGCTGGATACTCAGGCAGCAGCTGGAGCTACTTCACAAGTGAAATAAGTCAAAGAAGGTGGCTGCCACTCATCTCATCTCCTACCAGGGGCCCACCTCAGCATTCCCTCCCGTGGGAGGAGCATCGGAGCCCAGCGTCCCATCAGAGGTAACCTGCGACTCACCTGCTCCAAAGGCAAAGAAAAAGCCTTTATCGGGAAACTCTTCCAAAAGGGCCTTCACCCGCTTCCCCATTCTCTCATTCCGCTTGTAGATAAGTTCTTGGCGGAAGTAGCTGTCAATCTCCTGGGCAGTGACCCGCTCCTGAGGTGGCAGCGTGGAGTTAATAAAATTGGGAACCTCCATCAAAAGAAAAAGAAAAAGAAAAGTTAGGGGCAACAGAGTTACTAACAAAGTTGCTTAATTTGAGTGCCCAATCACCCAGGCCAGGGAGGCAAGCTGCTGTCAGGGGAAGGGGGAGGCAGGCATACCCACCACTCTTGGAGTCTCCCACCTGCTACTTCTTCAAACTGTGATATCATTCTCTGTAACCCAAGCACAAGCATAGTCGATGATGTGCACTGAAAGAACTCTTGGGCTATTTTAAACAGTGCTTCTGCTCTATTTAAATGAGAGTGCTTAAAAAAGAATAAAGAATGAATGAATGAACGAATGAATGAATGGGAGTGCTTGACGCCATGTGTTTGTATAAGGAGACCGTATCTTTGCCTAGCACATCCATAGCTTTTACTTGTTTGATCCTCACATGCTTTCTTCAGGAAAATAATTTTACATAATCATACAGTTTAGAATCAATAATTCTGACTCTACTACCAAATACAGGGAATGCCTCTAACCATTCAACCGTTTCCCAAATTCCACACATGGTAATTGTAATTATTTCTCCAATTCCCATGTCCCCCTCTTGTTTTCTCCAATGTTCTTTGCCCTCTTGGCAAATATTTCACCTGGTTCTGGTACACGTGTAAGCCAATTTCAGTATTTTGGCTAACAACAGGGCGCTCTTAGACCAAGGTTGTGACAGTCAGGGGTGGTGCTTGCAGGAGACTCTAGATGAGGTGTAGGTGAGGTGAGGGGTAAGTGAAGTGACATACTGAGTTCTCTCCCCACCCCATCTGGATTCCCTCCTCCTAGGCATGTGCTCTCTCCTCTACCCAGGGATTTATCAAAGTTAACCATTTACAAGGTTTCCTCAGTTATAAAACAGGGTAACCACCCTGGCTGCTTCTCCCACTTGCACAGTAGCCACTCCAAGACCTTCTGAAAGTCCTCATTCTGTAACGTAGCCATCAAGTTCCATTTCACAGACAACAGATCCCTTTTCGCTATTTCCTTGAAATGATATTTTTTTTCATCTTCAAACTCAAAGCCTTCCTTTTCTCCTTTATCAACTTTTTAAAAATCATGTCATTTATGTAAGATCCTTCTGTCCATTTCCTCACACATCCCTCTCTTCAGCACAGCACTTCCTTTGTACCAGCCCCTCCCCACAGGCAGCCCTGGGTGTGCAGGGGGATGTCCCACTGCCACCCTGCTCTCACCCTCAGCCCGACCAGTCCGGCTCTCCTGGCACCACAGCTGGCACATCCCCAGTACCCCCACACCACTGGTCGGGGCCCTGTGAGCAGCACAGGTCTGAAGGAGCCACAGGAAAGGGTAGCATAAGATACCTACCCCTGACCGCCCCGCCAACCTTCCCATTTGCCCATATAACTTCCAAATCTCCTGTCCATGTTAGCTGTTCCTGCAATTTCAAATTTTAATTCCCCAGTTGACCTTGACTTGTCTCCCAACTTCCCCCACACCCACCAAGAGTTCACAGAAGAGCTGTCATCACCATAAACTCTACTATTCCTTCATTAGTGTATTCTTGTTCCCCCTTCTCCTTGCTTGCTTTGCCTGGGTTTGACTTCCTCCAATTCTAGGCTCTCTGGAAAGCTCACTCTATCTTTTGACACTTGCACTGCTGAGGCCAGATGCAGCCTCTACTGTCCCACTCCCCAGGCCGCCATTCCTTTTCCAACTCTTACATTCACGCATATTTCCTTATGACAGAGGCCCTGGGTCTAACAGACCCCCAGCATCCCTCACACCATCCTCTTACATGAGGGCACTGGTCCTGGTGCTGGAGACAGCACACTCCCCATCTCAGAAGCTCAGCTGGCATTTGCCACTGCCACGTGGTCTTAGTGGGGGGAGGGAAGGAAACTATGGTTTGTTCCCTGGGAAGCTTGTTGATAAAGAGAAACAAATATCCCTCTGTAGGGAGGCTGCACTCCTCTGAGCTTCCTTCCCCTTGACAGCCCACAGGTAAAGCCTGTCCCGTGTGTCACTCACTGCACCAGCTCTGCCATGAACACATCCAAACCCATCATGTTCATGTGTCCTGGAAGCCATTGCAAGCTGCAGCCCAGGTTCTATTCCAGCATTTCCCGGAAGTGCTACCGGAGTCAGCCAGGGAGCTTTCGCACTCAGATCCCTTCCCTGCTCTAGAGGACGCCCGGGGTCATGAGGCCTGACACTGGATCCTTTGAAGCTTCATCCTTTGCCTGGGATCCAAGAATTAACTCTTATCAATGCCCCTCAGTTCCCACGTATCATGAAAAATGTATGTTAGCTGCAGTAGCTACTTCAACATCTAAACCTGTCCAATTAAAAAAATAAATAAAATAAAAACAAATAAACCTGCCCAAGTTTATTTTTAGAGCCCTTTATGACCTCAATCCTTTGTACACAGAAGGTCCAGGTGTCAGCAGGTAATGTCTCTCTTCTTGTGTCTAAATGCACGCCGAGCTGGGCAGAGGACAGGAGCCCTCACCTGGGAGCTGTCATGGCTGAAAATGACGGAGCTGAGGTCCCCACACTTATAGTGCTTGATGAGATCCTCCGTTGTGTAGGGGATCTGAAGGCTGCCTGCTCGGAGGCTCTCCTGCTGTAGGAGGGTCTGGTTCAAAGCAAAGAGGACCTACGGAGAGAAAACACAGGGCCCTCTTAAGTCCACAGACACAGCAATCATTAGCTGCCATCTTATTTCTTTTGTCCATGGTTGGTAATGGCCTCATGTCCAGGCTTGAGTAAGGACATGGACACTGCTGATAAAAAAAAAAAGGGGGGGGACCACAAATCCCCAGATGTGTCCAAAGCAAAGGAGACAGTCCTGCCCAAGCTGGCCCCTTGTAGGTCACATTGGAGGAAGCACCTTAAGATGGACACAGACCATCTAGAGGTATCCCCTGAGAGTCACCAAGGGCTAAAGAGATGAGAAGGGCTTGAGATGGACGTCTGAAAAAGCTGGAGAGGAAAGGCAGGAGGCAGCTGGGGACACGCAGATAGACCCATGCGATGACAGCTTCACTTACGCAAAGGACTGGACAGGAATATACGCATGACATACCCGAGTCTACTCTAACCATCAGTGTGGCATCCGCTGGCTTATGGAGTCACTGGGTCAGTGGAATGTTTTTGGTTTTTTGTGGTTTTTTTTTTTTTTAGTGGAATGTTAATAGAAGTTATGGAAAAGGAGGAAACGAGGGCTAAACAAAATTGAACAGGTTAATGTGTACCGGATTTCTCAGAGTCTCTGATGTACTCATGTGAGCTGCAGTTCTTCCCAAAGGGAGAGTGTGCCAGGCTTCCCAAGTTTATTTGAGGCACACGTAACAACAAAAGAGTTCACTGGACCATCCTTTGGGAAAATCCAGCTTAAAGTAATTTCACAAAACAGTGGATTCTCCATAGCACCGGAGTGCTGGGAGGTGGGATCCTGGCACCAGGTGGGACCGGGGCTGGCCACCCTCCACAAGACTCCTGACGACACTGAAGATGCCGCGGTACTTTCTCTCGCTCTCCCCAGGGATGGGTGCATACATAGCACCTTCCACGGGCCCTTCCACCGGCCACCCCAGTCATCGGTGTGCAGATACTGCCTGGCTGGCGTATTCCCTCCCCTTCTGCTGAAAAGCAGATGAGCGGGGTCCATCTGAGCACTCTGGGAGCTCTGCAGCAGGAAGTTTTCTTCAGTTCTCCGGAAAGGACATATCATGTGTCTCAAGTCAACAAATGACCCCATGCAGGCCCAACCCCCTAACTTTTCTCTTGTTACACATTCTCCTCCTCATTCTGAGCAGCAAAGAGGCAGGGAGGCTTGCTGGGTTGCTTGCCACAGGCCACGGCGGCACACGCTTGCTGTACGCCCTCCTCCTGTGGCCCTGTGGCCCTTGGTTACTCTGATACTGGCTGTCCCTGTCCTGGGGCCTTAACCAAAGGCAGCAGGGGCAGGTCCATCTGTAAAACCCCTCCTCTCCTCTCCAAATGTCCCTCTCCTATCTGTTGGGCCTAGACCTTCTGGGCCATGCCCTGTCCCCACCCCTCTACTGATGACATGAGGTGACAGAGAGACAGATACACCCAGATGCATGTCCACAAATTATGGTCTGTGGAAACTCAGTCTTCTACAAAGCTGAATCTCTGGATTCTAAAGCCACACTATCAGGACCTCTTCACCACCCCTGGGAATGGCTAAAGGATTAGCTGGAGGAACAAAGTTTGGAGAGGAGGGGGAGGGGCAGAATGTCTGCAGGGCCCCAGGCCAAGTCTCACACGTACTCTCAACGTCTCATCTAAACCAGGTTCTCAAGCTCCTCAAGCTCTGCTTGGCTCATAAACACATGCTGATGGATTCTGCTCTTCTCCTAAAGGCACTCAGGGCAAGCCCAGGTATCTGTTGCTTGCAGACCTTCCTCCAAGAGTTTCCATTGACTTCAAAATGCTTTTCTGAAGGTATTCTTGGTATTTAGAGAAGACTGAGTCACCCATGCTTGTGGACAGGCCGATCTGCAAAGTGGAGAAGACTTTGCGGCCCACACAGCGGGTAAAATCAGACCTTTGGTTATTCAGTCCCTTATGTGGTCAAATGTCATTGACCCTAAAGACATTTCACCTGTTCATAACAAGCTTCCAAAACCTTGCCAGGATGTTTGCCTTTGCTTCTTAATGTTTACTTTTTTTTTTAAGATTTTATTTATTTATTCATGAGAGACGCAGAAAGAGACAGAGACATAGGTGGAGGGAGAAGCAGGCTCCATGCAGGGAGCCTAATTTGAGACTCCACTCCAGGACTCCGGGATCACAACATGAGCTGAAGGCAGACACTCAACCACTGAGCCACCCAGATGCCCCTTACGTTTACTTCAGATGATCAAGCTCCATGCAACCAGGGGCAGGGACTTAGAGACACTGCTGGAGATGCCTTCTTTGGGGCAAACCAGCAGGGGGGCCTTCTGTGTCCACCCCCATAACTAGTAACTACCCACTGTTCCTCTGCAGGAAATCTCGAGGCCTCAGAACACAAGTCAGGGAGCACAAAACAATACACAGCCCCAAAGTCAGCTTTCTAAAACTGTGGAGATCCAAACCTAGCTGCCTCAGATACTACTTTGGCATCTCAAAAGGCCCCACAGTCTGCCAGAATTAATGACTATTGGTCATTCTTATGTAATTTATTCTCCTTGCTGTGCTTGGCAAAGTCTGAGCCAGCCTGACAAATTCAGGGTATCAGGATGTGACTCACAGATTAGCAAATTCCTTAGCAACAGCGATATTGGGTTACATTAACCATAGAGGCCTCTTCCAGGTTTATCCTGATGGGGTGTGGTCATTGACCTGGTCTCCTAGCCTTATAGGATCACATCTGGTACTGTTCCTGGGCAGCCAAAAAGCCCAGGTACAATGGGCAGCCTGTCCAACTGAGAGCCAAGGCAGCCGACCAGGAAGGGAAGGCAGGCAAAGGAGCAACACAGGGTCCTGGCTGAGTGGCCTCGGCCACGCAAGCTCCCCATCACGTGACCCCTAACCAGCTCCCTGCCACCCGCCCCTCCTCCCCTCTGTCCAGTCCCCTTCTTTGGAGTCTCTGCTACATTTTCTCACATGCTCTATCAGTTTCCTGCGGCTGCCATAACAAAGGACCACAACCTGGGAGCTTCAACAACGGAAATGTATTGTGTCACAGTTCTGGAGGCCAGAAGTCCAAAATTAAGGTGCTGGCAGGTCCATGCTCCCCCTGAAGGGGGAAGGGAAGGATCCGTTCTACATCTGTCTCCTGGCTTCTGGGCCTTCCTTGGCTTGTGGCTGCAGAACTCCAGTCTCCATGTGGTGTACTCCCCATGCATGTGTGTGTCCACATTTCCCCTTTGTATAAGGGCACAGTCATGTTGGACGAGCGCCCACCCCAATGACCTAATCTTAGATCATCTGAAAAGACCCACTTTCCAAATAAGGTCACATTATCAGGTCCCGTGGGTTAGGACTTCAATGTAAGCATTTGGAGACACAAGTCAAAACATGTCAGTCTTAGCTTACTTTTTTTAGTAGTTCATATGAATACAGTAGAAATTTCCAACAGTACTAAGAAAAAAGGCTCCCTCCTATTCCTATACCCCAACCCCCCCTCCCTAAAAACCACCACTGCAGCCAGTGGCTTGGGTATCTTTCCAGGGACAGTCTTTGTGTAAAAGGTGACAGACAGACTGATGACACATGATAGGCAGACAGACAGAGAAGTATGGAGATAGCTCCTCCGTTTTTCTGTTTGTGCTCCTGTTTGTGCCTTCAAGCACTCAAATAAATGCCTTTCCATGAACGAATACTGAAGCTACACATTATACCATAAGACAAAAAGTCATGGAAGAGAAAGCCAGAGCTTGGCAAACAGGGCTATCCTCCATCGTTCCTAAAGTACAGGCAGCCTGAGACCTCCCAATCCATAAAATAAGATTAGTGACTATGGGGAAATCTTCGTGGCTCAGTGGTTGAGCATCTGCCTGTGGCTCAGGTCATGAGCCTCCCCTCCCCTGAGGGCAGCCTGCCTCTCCCTCTGCCTATGTCTCTGCCCCTCTCTCTGTAGCTCTCAAGAATAAATAAATAAAACCTTTAAAAAGAAAAAAAAAAGATTAGTGACTATGGCAAATCACAAAAAAAGGAAATTTCTGACTGGTAAAAGGGACAAAATGAAGGTTTCCTACAGCCTTTCCAGTGAGAAAGCAGACTGGATGCAGAAGCCCCAAAGGCACCCCAGAGATGTCTCCAATTGCCCCCAGTCCAAAGCTGCCCTAGTGTGGCAGGATTGTGGAGCCCAACCGCCAAGAAAGAGTTCTTGAGATGCTGCACAGTGCCACTTAGAACATGTATTTAAGTAGCACGGGGACATGACCCGCAGGCCCAGAAAGCTGCACATTCTCTGTATGAAGCTGGCGGTTATATGCTTAGTACTCAAGGAGGAAGGCGACGTGCAGGGAGTATGAGATTCTAAACATCTGCGAATTTACACTCAGAAAAAATACTTTCGTAGGATTTCTATGGTGCTTATCATTCAGTTCACTATTAACTATCGGTGAGATCTACAGGCAGTCATGAGACCCTTTATGAATGTAGCAACCCTTTATGACCCTTTATGGATCAGCATGTATCTGATCCTTATTGAAAACTATGTAGGGTATAGATCAGCTTCTGGGCTAAAGGTGAACATTTTTCCACTTCTCTCATCTTCAGAACCTCTACTATAGGCTCAGGCTGACACAAGCAGGCCCCGAGGAGAAATCCAGGCACAATTCTACAGATGAAGATTTCAGACAATCCTGCAAAGACTCAGGTTCATTTCTCCAAGATCTCAGATAAGCCTTGTCCTCCAGACACTCAAATGACTTGGTTTTCCCATGAACCTTTAAGCCAGTGTTTTCCAAACCACAGATTGCAACTCATTATCCACCACTTCTTGTTGACATAAATCGTGGCATGCTCTACCCACTGCTCTGGAGCTTGCTTATTTCTTTTAATCTTGCGTATCCGTCCATATACAGTGCATCCAGGTCTGTTCCATGCTTTGTAACAGCTCCACATAAGTCGGTGCAACTGCCCCCTTATGGGCACCTTTTGTCATTACAGCTACGGTAGCCAGAACCGCCACCTACC